CAAAGAACCTTTATTTCTACAAAGAACAAAGCAAATCCTTACTGCCAGTGTTATATTTTCTTTTATTTCTTATGAATCAGGCAGTAAATATCCACTTTTAGGTTATAACAAGCTTATAACTTTTAGGGCAGTATTTGTGTGTGTGTTTGTGTGTGTGTGTGTATGTGTGTGTGTGTGTGTGTGTATGCACACGCATGCGTGCATGGAAGTATGAACAGTCTAGATCTTGTCTGTATGTGCAATATACACAGATCAAATATTAAAATATTTATACACATCATGAAACTATAGATATTTCTGACTAGGCATTTAATTTCAAAAATGTACTCCGAACAGGCTCTCAAACCTCTCAGTGTTTTACAGTTATCAATTTGAGATTTATATGACAGCTCTGAATTACATTTTGATACAGAGAAACTGAAGTTGGCCTGCAGCACAGTGTTCAGTGCTGTGTACTAGAAGCTGGGTCCCATGTGCTGACTGCAGTTCGAAGGTGGACCCCAGTGGCTTAAAAACTACACCAATTACATATGTGCCCCAAATCCTGACAGGATGAGAAAGGGAGGAAAAAGAACTATGGCAAGACCACTGGTTCCCTCTCTCTCTGGCAAGCAAGACCCCCACCAAACGTCTGCACTTCTCTCAGATACCCAGCAATGCACTGATCGGCACGTCCTCCCACCACCTTCATTAAATACACAAGACATCTCCCTACGGTGGGAATACCAGAAGGAAAGAGTCAGAATCTTGGCACACCACTTTTCGGAAGTTGCTGACTCCTGATTGTATGTATATATTTGATCAGATGTATGTCTGTGTGTGTATGTGTATTCAGGAGCAAATATAAAATACACCTGACCTGTTTTTCCTTTATTTATGGGTGAGCAATAATGTTGAAAACAACAATAAATTAGAACTTGAGGGACTAATTTGAAAACTTAATTTAGATATAAAATGAAAATATTTTATTAGGTCTTTAATCATTTCCGAGGCCCCACCTTTTTTTTGACCCAGGAAATTATCTGCCTGAAATTTATTTAGACCGAATTCCGGTAATGTGGTGACAATCTCAAGGGATACACTGTAGGACCCATCCAAATGGATTCTCGCTGAGTGAGTTACCTGATAACAGATGGCGCAAATATCATTGTGTTTCTCAAGCTGCTCTTTAGTAGCAATGGGTAATGATTTAATCTTATTCACAGCATCCCTGCGGAGAAGAAAGCTCTTCCACCCCAGTTGGGCTCGAAGCCATACATTATAGTAGGAATGGATGAAGATGATCATTGACCCCATCACTGTCCATTCTCCGAAGATGGTCTCTGAGACGCCATAGGCCACCACGCAGAGTGCCACGAGAAACTCCAGCAGGCGATAAGTGCCATTCACATAATAGATGACGTCATCCATGTTTTCCACTGGCTCTTTCCTGAATTCCTCCACCATAAATAAGACATAAATAAAAAGTGTTCCCAGAACCTGACAAAAAAAGTATGACTATGATTACTATGAAGCTTTTCCCATAGGCTTTTAAACAGTAACACATTCCTTGTGTGTGTACATACACACACACACATATATATAGTTATATTTAGACTTTTGCTATAGGGTATGTGTGCTTGCCAGAGAAAGAGAGAGACAGAAAGTGAGAAATTATCCCCCAAGGGGATGGAAATGCTACAGTCCCTTCTCCTTCATCCTCTTCTTGGGATTTTGGGCATGCATACACACATGTCCGGCATGGGTTTCAAGCCACCAGGTCTGGGACTAGAATCTTGGTTAGCTATGTGGGCTTTAACCACTACGCCACCTGCCGGCCACATTCCTAGTATTTTGAGGATGCTGTACTGAAAATCTAAAAAGGAATACTTTGGGAAAAAATGTTTTTGTAATTAAAAAAATGTTAAATAAATAAAATCTAAGGTGGAGACACGGGTATAATTAAAATGTGGGTGATCTTAGTAATCCAGGTATTAATATTGAAAAGCCAAACCTTCAGACATAACTTTCCCAAAATAATTCTGATAATTAATCAGTTTTCTCCTACTCATTCTTTTTCTTTATTCCCCAGGTTACAAAACTCCATCAATTTCATCTTAATTTTCCTCATTCCATAGTCATTTAAATCTCAAAGAACCTTTATTTCTACAAAGAACAAAGCAAATCCTTACTGCCAGTGTTATATTTTCTTTTATTTCTTATGAATCAGGCAGTAAATATCCACTTTTAGGTTATAACAAGCTTATAACTTTGCATGGGGTATTTGTGTGTGTGTTTGTGTGTGTGTGTGTATGTGTGTGTGTGTGTGTGTGTATGCACACGCATGCGTGCATGGAAGTATGAACAGTCTAGATCTTGTCTGTATGTGCAATATACACAGATCAAATATTAAAATATTTATACACATCATGAAACTATAGATATTTCTGACTAGGCATTTAATTTCAAAAATGTACTCCGAACAGGCTCTCAAACCTCTCAGTGTTTTACAGTTATCAATTTGAGATTTATATGACAGCTCTGAATTACATTTTGATACAGAGAAACTGAAGTTGGCCTGCAGCACAGTGTTCAGTGCTGTGTACTAGAAGCTGGGTCCCATGTGCTGACTGCAGTTCGAAGGTGGACCCCAGTGGCTTAAAAACTACACCAATTACATATGTGCCCCAAATCCTGACAGGATGAGAAAGGGAGGAAAAAGAACTATGGCAAGACCACTGGTTCCCTCTCTCTCTGGCAAGCAAGGTCCTCAGGTAATTAAAAAAAAAAAGAGGTGGGGGGGAGAGAAAGAAACTCAAAGACTTAATAACCTTGATGGAGAATACGACAACACAGGCAGGTCTACCCAATATTTTAATAACCTGCCTTCTAACTCCTGTGGTTCAAATAAATGTAATGTGTTCTTGTAAAAAGAGTGGGCGTTACCACCTACCTAGGCCACTTATAATCATTAATCTTGAAAAAGTTTAATTCCTTTTCCAGAAGGAAAAATTAAAAAATCAGTTATTATGTATAATTAAATTTAGGCTTACCTGAAGAGAGGTGAGAATGCTGCTGGAAATAATGATAAGCAACCAGAAATCCATGTGGAAAAACTGGCAAATCATATAAGCCATGTATGCAGGGAACACCAGTAAAAATAAACAAAGGCTCACAGCACGAAAGTGTTTCCATAAACTCCTGGGAAAAGATAAAATTACTCTTTTAGCATACCTGCCACCTAGAAGCACAATGGCATCAGCAGCAACAGGTCTGGCTGATAACTTTCATTAATACGTGAGCAGACACTGCCTCATGCCTGTCACTGTACTAGACTGCAGGGTGAGTCACACGGGCTCAGCAATTCAGTCACCGTGTGCAGCCAATTATCAAGTACCATGGGTCTCTTTTCTCTCAAGTTTGCTTTCAATTTCATTCCCATCCCTAGCGATTTCAAATTATTCCAGGCTTTTGTAGCCATAAGCCTTAACAATTTCAGTAGTAATTTTCCCTGTTAGGGCTGGGAGGGACTATCAGAATACCTGTGGTCTCATCACATGACGGCCTCCCCCCGCCCACTCAGCAGTGTGGTGAACATCCTGCAGCAGTGAGTGCAGGTGTGGCAGTCCTCCACGTGCCGAGGGTGGGGGAGGCGCCAGGACTGAGAACACCGTAATGTCACATCTTCGAGGCTGGGCTTCCTGGGAACCACGAGCCAGATTTGTCTTCCTAAAGCTATTATTCTATTAGGTTGCTGGAAAAGTCATGACCCATTTTTGCATAGAAAAACAGAAAACATAAATTATGACTTTTCTGATAGCCCAATAGTATTTTCAATACCTCTAAATTTCCGAGGCTGGCATTTGAGACCCTCCGCTCCCATTTTTTGGGTCCAAATCTATTCCTCACTAGAAGTCAAGTTGGTTAATTAACTATCCTCCCAGCAAAACATAAGCACCCTCACACATCCCACCAGAAATGCCTCCATGAAGCAATTTCTCTAAACTCTTTAGAAAAGCTCAAGTTAAACAAATATATTTGCATTCCAACCAAGACAGTATAAAGCTCATGGCTTGAATGAAATTAAGTGGTTTTAATTAAATATCAGTATCTGTGGCATATTCTCATATCCAGGCCTCTCAAGGAGACAAAAGTAACATAAATCATCATTCCTTCTTTTTACTTCCCACCTAGGTTTAACTACAACACAAGTGGGAAGTAAAATCAATAAAACATACAAAGTCAAATGCTGTACTGTGTGGTCGTATCATAACTAATAATTCAAAAAAGAAAGTGAATTATGGGGTCATCGTGATGCAGAAAGTCAAGATGCATTTTTTCTGTTATTCTATGTAAGAATGCATCATGACTTTTCCAACAATCAATATTTTGTTGAAAATTAAAGTTAGATATTTGGAAAGTATTTTCTATCTTTTCTTGACAAATGATTCTATTACTAGAAGTTAAGGAACCAATGTATGCTTGTTAGTAGCTCTGCTTTGAGATTTAAAATACAAAACATGTTTGTTTTATAAAGAAAGGAAGCAGGAAGGAATTACTATTAACAGTAGCTATACTGTGTCAAAAGACAAAATAAGGATGATCCTAGCAGGACCATCTGCCTTAAAACCTTACATACATGTTTAAAAATAAAGCCAATTATGATCCATTTATATAAAATACATATACATACAAACACAAAGAAAATTATACACAACGTTAAATCTATGTCTGCCTAATTTTGATGTATTGATAGGTATGTTATGTACACACAAACATACATATTATAGACGTTATATATTATAGACACAAACATACAGACACACAAAAATATATACTATACACACACACACACATATATAATGGGTTAACAGAAAAGTCATGATGTGTTTTTCTGTGAGAGTTTTTTTGTTTGTTTTTTGGCTATAAGGTATGTGTACTCAGTGTCAGAGAGAGAAAGAAAGCTGTAAACTAACCCTCCCCCAGGCAGATGGCTACACCACAATCCCTTCTCCTTCATTCTCCTCCTGGAATTTTGTGCGTACATACATACGTGCCCAGTGTGAGTTTCAAGTTTGCCGGGTCTAAGATTTGAATCACGGTCAGCCATGTGAGAGCCCAGTGCTTTAACTACTATGCCACCTTCTGGCTCTTCTATGTTTTTCTATGCAAAAATGCATTATGACTTTATGACAACATAATACATACACCCTTATTTAAGTAAAATTGAATTAAATTTTTAAAAAACAAAGATGAGAAAATGACACTGAAACCTGATCAACATTAATAAATTAAGCACAATAAAACAAAAAGTAAATTTCTTATATTCACCTCAACCTATCTCCTAAAAAGTTTGCCTTTTATGGCGGCAGGCGGAGGGAAGCTGCGCCGGCCCACCGGGGCCGGCTGCGGGCCCCCGGCCACCCCCAGGACCCACGCCGAGCGAGGCGGAGGCGGGAGGGGGGGCCCCCACCCCGGGGCGGTGCGCCG